CCTTTTTTTTTTTTTTTTTAGAAGCTCTAGCACTCATTTCTCTGCACTTTTGGGTTTCTTAATATGATCGCTCCTGACATGATATATTGCTGAGCAGCAGGGCCTGCTGTTGTGGAATCAGCATTTGTTCTCTGAGCAGACAACTGCCTCAAACCCTGGAATTCCTCTCCAGCTGTAGCTTAGTAAAGCACGTGATCTGAATTGGGGGGGGGGGGGAGGAGTTAAGGGTGGTAGGCATGATCTTCCTGAAGGCTGGCTGCGGGGAGTGCTCATATTCAGCACATGCTGTTTATGTCTGAGCGTGTCAGAGGCAGGAGTAGCAGCTGACGTAGGTGCCGACTCCATGGGTGCTCCAGCTCCAGAGCACCCATGGAAAAAAAATAATAGGTGCTCAGCATTCACCGGTGGGCCCCACTGATCTGCTTCTCCCCCTCCCACTCAGCGTCTCCTGCCCGCCACTGATAAGCAGAAGAGAGAGGAGTGGGAGCAGGAAGAGATGAGGTGGGGCCTTGGGGGAGGGGGTGGAATTGGGGGCAGGGCCTGGGGCGGAGCAGGGGTCGAGCACTCCAGGGGAAATCAGAAAGTTGGCACCTGTGCCAGCTGACAATCTTGGCTGACTTGTAGCCCCAGGGTGTGCGAGTGGGGGGGGGGGGGGGAAATACCAGGTATTTACAGCCTCTAAAGTTAGGAACTGGTTTGCATGCCCCTAGCCAATACTGTGAGCTCTGGATTTCTAATGCTTTCTATTTCCAGCATTGCCAGATACTTAGTAACAAAAGACTTATTCACATGCAGTGGTGTGGTCTGAATTGTGATCAATATGCTCCTGATATTCTTACCAAAGCCATTCAGTCTCTGTCTAGCAGAGGATGAGACGCTGACCGAAGCTATACCTCTAAAAGGTGGGAGTATTGCCCAGAGAAGGGGAAAATGTCTGGAGGAACTTGCTTGCTCAATGAATGTCCTCCCTTTACCGTTTGCCCCAGGCAGCTAGGTAGATGCTGTGGGAATGGCCACCAAGAGCTGAACATAGACTCTCATGTCTTGGTGGTGTTTAGAAGAAACTTTCTTCACTTGGGATTTAATCTTTCTTGAAGATATCCTCTGCACTGTGGTGACCTGCACCCATGCAATCTAGGCTAGATTAGTGCAATGCACTTTACATGTGGCTGCCCTTGAAAAGTAATTGTAGACAGCAGCATGACTGCTGTGAGGGTTAGACTTGTCAGCTGCACTCTGCTTTGGCTGCTGCTGGTCCCAAGAGTATGCACTGTGACCAGTCATTAGGTAGAATATCCTCACATCCTGCAGCAGCTGAGGGGCCGTGTCTGCTGCCCTGTATTGGGTCCTGTCAGGATGGGAGGAAAGACAGTCTCTCCTGAGGGCCTGCATCTTTGCCTTATATACACTAGTGCTCCACGTACCTTCTGAGGAGGCAGTGTTGTGTTTTCATTGCCTCTTTAGTGGTGGAGGGGCTGGTTTATTGGGGGCTCCTTATAGTAACTGTTCTGGGATCTTGGTCACTGTGCCAGACTGGTGCTAAGAGTCTCATTTTCAGTTGGGCTGATGTTGTTTAGCTCCCAGAGGCCTTTGGCCACACCACCTCAAAAGTAAAAACATGTAATTCTCTCTACCAAAATAAACTCTGCCCCAAAATGTTCTGCCCTTTTCAAGCACCTTCTTCTTCCCATGGTCCTGGAGAGCATTCCCTGGACCAGTGGTTTTCAACCTGTGGTTTGCGGACCCCTGGGGGGGTCCCCAGACTATGTTTAAGGGATCTGCGAAAGATTGTCATTGCTATAGAACAATGGTTTTCAGCCTGTGGTTTGTGTACCCTTGGGGATCTGCAGACTGTCTAAGATTTCCAAAGGGCTCTGTAACTCTATTCAAAATCTTTTAGGGGTCTGCAAATGAAAAAAGGTTGAAAACCATTGCCCTAGGCAGATGGTGGCTGTTACCATCCAGACCAATCCATGGGATTTCAGAACTTCACCATCCATACCCCCAAAATTCAAACAGTCATTCTGCAGCAATAAGATGTGGGTCCCTCCCACAACCTGCCCTGGGGCTCTCCTGGCTTTTCTTTGCCTCCAGAAAGCAAGAGTTCAGAGCTGCTAACCACCTGGTTCAGCTTCGCCCACAACCTAGTATTTCGTTTCTGTAGCTAGTGTGCTCCTGTATGATTCCTGTCCGTGTGTGTGTCTCACTTCTCCTGTTATTCCCCAGGCAATGCAGGAAGAGAGGTTAATGCGTAGCTGAAATAACCAGCATCTCTGACCCGTGAGGCTGGGATTCCATTGTTAGGTTCTTTCTGGTGACATTCTGCCCAGCAAGCTCAAGCCTCAGCATTGTTCTCCCCTCCGTCTCTCCCACATTGATGCTGTCTCTAATTCCTGCCCTTCTTCCTACGCGGCAGCTTCAAAATCACTTTTGCATCTCTGTCCCCCTGGCTAAAACCCTTGATGGGTCCCTGATTCTTGTGACTGCCTCCTCTCTGGCCTCCTAGATGTTCCCTGGAATGCTGCCATAAAGATCCTCTTCCCTGCCGCTGCTCTTACCACATCTGGCCCTGCTAGTCTCAACACTAGTTCCCATCCACCATGTATCATACGCAGGCTCCTCCTCCTTCTCTTCATAGCCCTGCACAGCCTGTCTGCCTCTCTGCGCTTGAGTCCTCCTCACCCAGACTTCCCCCACACTCAATCAGCTCTGCACCTCTGTGCAGGCACCTATCTGTGTCCTCCAGGCACCCACCCTCTCCTCCACAAACCAGACCTTCCTCCTCCGAGTAATGTCAGTAAATTACAACAGCCATCCCTCCAAAGTGAAACCTCCAAACCAAGCCAGGCGCTCAGCCTGCCCATCCGGTCCTGCTTGTCGCTGCATCCCATCCCCCACTGCTTTGGTCTGTGTATTGCCTAGTTAGTGTAAGCTCCATGGGGCAGGGATCTGATAATTGTTTCGGTCTGTGAAGTGCCCAGCCCGGTGTTGGTGCCATGGATAGTAAAATTTGGCAAGCTTTATGCGTGTAACAGGGTTTAAAAAAAGAAACGCCACAGTTTTAATCAAAATAGTTACAATGGTACAAAAATTGTGTGTGGACCAGGCTGAATCTCTCTCGGCTCCCTCATTATAGCCATGTTATCCAGGCCACTGCCAGGAGCAGTGTCAGTTTTGCCCCCTAGTTCAGTGTTTTGTTGGTTTTTAAACACCTCACACTCCCTATAGTCTTGCTCATATTTGTGTTCTTTCCCCTGGTGCCAGAGAAGCTGGTTCCTTTCTCCTCTGTTCTAATCAGTGCAGAGCTGGGAGTGAAATTTATCTCTTTAATAAGAATCAGGTAGGCTACTGCATCCCTCTGTGGAATGATTCTAACACATTCCAGTGAATCAGAACCTTTCCCTGCACAGTCTGGATGAGGTTTACTGCTAATGGAGTAAGTGCATATGGGGCCAGACCTGTCTGCACTGGTGACTTGTTCCTCCTCTTGCTAGGCTTTATTTCTTGTAGTATTTTTTTCTCCATAGAGCCTATGCTTAGACTCTTGAGTCTTCTCCCCTGTGGTGATGTGTGGGCGCCGACCTTGCTTTGTGGTTGCTCTGTGCACACAGCAATGGATCACTATCCATTCCAACCCTGGCCTCTCCCTCTGATTGGAGGGGCGGGGGGACCCCCCTCTGGGAGATTCTTGGTGGGGTAAGGGAGGAAGGGCATTGGAGGTGAGTTCTTAGGACCCCCCTCTGGGAGATTCTTGGTGGGGTAAGGGAGGAAGGGCATTGGAGGTGAGTTCTTAGCCCCTCTCGCCACATGGCAAAGTGTTTGGTTTACTGCACTGCATGCTGAGCTGTGCTCTTCCACTCAGGGCCCTGGGGACTCACTGACCTTTCTCATAGCTGAGAAGAAACTCTCTGTCTCTCTGACCTTTTCACTCCACACCTGCATGGCTTGATAAGAGCTTCCTCCCGGACTCTGCTGTGTGTCTCAGGGATGCTGTTTCGCTTTCCTAGAGCCTGAGGGAGCCCAGGATGGGTGTGAACTTGTGCTAGAGAGGGGTCTCCAGGACTCTTATTAATCTTTGCCGCAGTCTGGGACCGGTCCCGTTGCCTCTCTTTCATTTGGAAACTGCTCCTGTGCTGCAGCTAGTGCAGAATGCAGCCGCTCGAGGGGGAGGCTGTGCTGTGCTTAGCAGCCTCTTGCCCACCAGACGTGCTGCACAATCTGTCTTTTGGTCTACGTGGCCTTAAGAGTGGGTGGGGTCTGCTGGGGGGCCTGTCTGCTGGCTTGGGACCTATCGCAGCCTGTGAGCTTGGGGCTGGTGCACTGACCCTCAGGCAACAGGGCCTGCCACTTTGGGATATTTTCTAGATTAGGTGGAGCACATCAGGGGAGTTCGACTCTCAGTGCTCTGGGGGTGGTGACTGCTCCCCCCCCCGGTGTGGCGGTGGAGAGGAGTAGCATGTGCAGAGTGTGGGTTATTGAGGATGGTTTGTCACTTTGGTTGTGTGGTATTGGCTGTGTTCTGTGGGAGAGCCTGGCTTTAGTGGTGTGTAGATACCATGGACACACTCACCTGTGGCTGTCTGAGGAGCTTTACCTCAAGTGTCCCATCCTCAGGGCCCTTTAGACAGGGCAACATTACCCATCCCTGATGCTGCCTGGCAGGGATTGGTCAGTCCTCTGTCCTATGGCAGCTTTGGGGGCCTGTGGCTTGGGCAGATGTTCTTCTCTGTGTGATGTGTGATGTCAAAGTTGAATTTCTCGTTTGGCACTTTAATAAAAGTTAAACAAAATACAGTAAAACTCCAGGGTCTGTATGGAGCAAACCCTGCACATCTGCAGAGGAGCTAGCGTGCCTTGTTGCTGACCTGTCCTAGTCCGTGTGCACCATGCTGCATCTGACCATTCTGCTTCCTCCGTTCTGGCTGGCCAGCATGGTTTTCTTTGTCCCATAGTTCTTGTCTCTTGTGCACTCAGGCCACTTCTTATGTTCTCTCCTCCAGGTGAAGGTCCAGAATATGGGGCCAGTGGAGACGATGCCCTCAGCAGGATCCAGAGGCTGATGGCTGAGGGTGGTATGACTGCTGTGGTCCAGCGGGAGCAGAGCACCACTATGGCATCCATGGGCGGCTTTGGCAACAACATCATTGTGAGTCACCGGATTCACCGCAGCTCTCAGACTGGTGTGGAATCCATGGGAGCTGATGGTGCCTTGATGCAGCAGTCCACCTCGCACGAGCTGGCAGCTGAGCTGGAGGGACGGATCCTTTCAGAGTCTATGCAGCTGGCAGAGCAAGGCCAGAGCCCGCAGACAGCTCCTGGCAGGAGTGAAGGACAAGGAGCCGATGGATTGGATCTGCCAGAGCAGTCCCAATCCTCTATGGACACTGAGGGACCAATTGAATACAGTGACCTAACCAATAATAACCATCTTCCTGACAATACCAACTACTATAGTAACGACAGCACCAGTGGGGAGTCGCGGAACAGGTAGAGATGAATTGTCTTGGTGCTACCCTTGTACTGCTAAGCAGAGACCTGTACCTCACAGTTGATCAGGAGCTGGAAGAGTGGGGGTATTGTGGGTCTGACAGGATAATGGTAATTGAGGAGGGGGCCGAAGTGGAAGAGAAGCCACCAAATCTATAGGGACCCCAGGCAGAAGAAGTTTTATTTGGTCTTAGCTTCCAGCACCCATGCTCCTGCACAATTTCTATGAGAACATTAATGATCCCTTACAATGCTCTTCTGAGCCTTGTGTAAATATCCCAGATTACTGGGAATCCCTGGGTCTTAGCCCTAACCCTGGAGTGCTCTAACTGTTACCATTCCTAACATGAGTGTTTTCCCACTGCTTGCCACCAGCCCCAAGGTTTGAGCAGAAGAACGAATATCAGGGAAGGGGGCCTGCGGTGTCCTCCAGAGACAGGCAACCCTATTGGGCATATCCTGGATTTGATGCCCCAGCTCTGCCAGTGGAGTGGAGGAGTCTTCCAGGCCAGAGTCCCACTCCATGGGATGGCCCTAGTGCCCCTTGGGAAAGGTGCAGCATTTTGGAGACTAGAGAGAACATTATTCCTGTCCAGTCTGCGATCTTCCCAGGGCAGAGCTGGAGTAGAAAGAGCCAGGCTTAAGCTTCACCATCCTTTATATACCCAGGAGCCTCTCAGAAGTGAGGACCTTTTCTTTGAATGTCAGCTTAGCACCGAGCTGCTATCGATGGGGAGAGAGAATGGGGGCAAATGCGGGGGGTGGGAGTGAGGTGGGTGTGGCTCCCCCAGTAAGGATGCAGTTAGCACAAGGATACTCCAATATTTTCACACCCCCAGCTGTGCCAATATTCACGTGAATGAGCCATCTTGGCAAAGCCTGCCAGTATCATGGCACCATTGGCTGGCTGCATTTCTCTTGGGGCGGGGAGGGGGTGACTTTCCAGCTCCAGGTCAGGGCATGAGGTATGGGTCTGTGACGTAAGGTGTTGCATGTGAAATCTTGACCTTGTACATGTAGTTTCTAGTGGAGAAATCAAGGCTCTGATAATATTTTGTTTTTAGTCTAAAATGTGATTTTCCTTTTCGTTTGTAACTCTCCATCCCAGCAAGCTTGTGGCGGGAGGGTAGGGGGAGAGTCTGAGTGCTAACGAGGGAAACACCAAAGATCAACGTCATTAAAATATGACAAACCCTTCTCTGGCCTGCTGTCTTCACTTGTGTGCTGGGGGGAGGGTGTGTTTGCGTGATTGGCCCTGCCATAGCGCCTGCAGCCAGGGAGCTCCAGGTGCTTCATAAACAACCTCTCATTCCCTCAACCCCACAAGGGTAGAATCACCTCTGTGACAAGTCACTGGCAGAACTGGGAATAGAGCTCAGGAGTCCTGCTTCCAAGTGCCGTGCTCTAACATTGCACAGCTGGGTACATTCCTCCCTGCTTTTCCCCTCGCTCTCCCCGTCACTGCCTAAGGCAAGGGGAAAGTAGTTGAATCCCACTATATTCCACTAAAACAATAGGGACACAGCTGTCTACTCCAAGAGAGCCAGGAAATGTCCTTCCTGTCCAGTCCCCTACCCCAAGAGAGCCAGGAGACATCTGCCTGCCTGCTTCCTGGGGAGGAGAGGAGAGGTGGCCATGGGCCTGTTTCAGAGAGGAGACTGTGCACTTAAACCCATGGGGGCTAGGTGTGATAACCACCCTGGTGTGAAGTGCACTTCCCCCCACTGTGTCTGAGTTATTGTCACCCAGCACCTGCCTGGCCCATCTCAACACTTTGAGAGCATCCCAATAAATAAGGCCATCATTACGCAGCACTCAAGCTCTCAGTCAGAAGAGTCTGTTAAAGAACATTAAGCAAATCTTCCCTTAAATCACAGCCTGGAAATGAACCTTAAATCAAATCAGCCACTGCCAGGCCTCATCACAGGGTGTTAATGAGGCTCTAAAACCTGCCCTGTGCAAGTCGCATCTCTGAGCTGACAGGGCCTGATAATGGGATTCCCTTCTGTGGAGATGATGGCTTCCAGGGCCAGCTCTAGCTTTTTGCTGCCCCAAGCAAAAAAAAAAAAAACACGCAGCCGCAGGAGCGCGTGGAGGGCGGTCAAAGGCGGCTCGCAGGGGGGGTGAAGGGCGGCGCCCGCCCGCTCCCTCTGCCCTTGGGCAGCCAGGCGCTGCAGCCCGCTCACAGCCGGGCAAGAAGGCTCCCCCCTCCAGCCTTGAGGTGACTCTCCAGGCCTGGCAGGCAGAGCTCCCGGGGGCTGCAGGAGGTGCTGACTCAGCCGCTCCTTTAAAGGTGGCTCGCCGGGCTGGGCTCAGAGCAGCACGGGAGGCGGAGGCCGGTGCAGGCGGTGAGGAGTGGCGCGTCCCAGGGAGCCCGGCGGCACGGTGAGCGGCGGGGATTGCTAGCTCCTGCCCCCCCGGGCCAGGGTCCGTGCCCCTGCAGGGCTGGGCTGGGACTGGCGGAGTGCGGGGAGCCGGCTGGGAGCTCCGGAGCTGCAGATCGGGCTGCCAAAGCGCGCAAAAAAAAAAAAAAAAAAAAACAACGTCAGGGCGGCCGGAATGTGCCACCCCAAAATTGGCCAGAATGCTGCCCCTTACAATGTGCCGCCCCAGGCACGTGCTTTCTCGTCTGGTGCCTGGAGCCGGCCCTGATGGCTTCACACATCCTGCCTGCGTCTGTGCAGGCTCAATGGGCATGCGCTGATACCCTGAGCTAGAGGGGCTATGTTCCTGCTATGCCAGAGTCTGCACTGGATATTCCCAGTGCTTGTGGGTCTGACTACTACTCCCCTTGGAAATAAAAAGGAGCAGAGCCTGCAGAAAGGTGCCAATGCACCAGACTGGCCTCTCCCCACCCTTCTCCAGGTCTGCCTCCCAGAAGAGCCTCTAGGCACATTCAGGCTAGATGAATGCCTTGCAGAGTGCTTACATCCTTCCCTACAGCCCGTGGCCAGACAGACTTGGGGGAGAGCCTCATCGGGACAGGGAAATGGTTCCTTGGGATGCCCTTTCTGCAGTGGTGCCTGGTTCATGAGGGCCCAATTTGTTCATGTACCCTGCAGCAGTTGAGCTAGGCCACTTCGCTGCAGCTGTGAATGGACATGAAGCATCTTAGTCAGCTATTCTGGGCACGCTTCCTCAACCCCCACATTAAGGTCTTGCTCCTGCTGAAGTTGATGGGTAGAACTCCCATGAGCTCCGGTGGGAACAGGAGCAAGCCCTAATGTCTCAGATCAGTCTGAACTCACTTTCTCTCCTGTATGGAAGTAGATCTTCATTTGGAGAAGGTTCAAGTGAAGCCTTCCTAGAGGTGCCGAGGACTGAGAAGAAGGCTCTTCTCCACTTCTCTCTCAAGTCTGTTTGGCAAATATAGCTCTGTGCAGAGGCTGAGATCGCAGTTGCAGTTGATTTATTTACAAATGCTTGGAGGGAAGGTGGCGGGGGAAGATGGACAAACCAATTCTCCAGACCACAGCCTCTGAACCCTTGCTTACTCTTCTTCAGAAGCTTTGCTGGGAATAGAAGTCAGGCTGCTGCTGGGAAACCTGGTTCTAGGGGTGAAAGCCTGGCAGGTGCTCTTTGGTGCAAGAAGTTGGTGGGCTTGAGCCTGCAGAGGCAGCAGCAGTTTACTGTAGCTGCTGCAGGCAAAGAATCTGCACAATTCAACAGCCCACTCCTTAGAATAGGCCCAGAGTCCCTGGTGGAGCAGAGCGAGGGGATGATCTGGATTGCCAGCGGGAGCCCAGCACTCAGGAGGGAAAAGGTGAGTAGAAACACTCCTGCTCAGGTTGTCTCCCTCCAGCTCCCTGGCCCTTGGCACTGACTGCCACCCCTTCTCCGGTCCCTGCAGATGTACTGTTTCGCCCACACCCCCAATCCCTTAGGACAGGTACTAGCTCTCTTAGGACGTCAGTCAGGGAAGAGAGGGCCAACAGCTTTCTCCTCACATTAAGCTTTGAACAGAGGCTGTGTTAACAAGTCCTGGGCTCTCAAGGCTGGGGACCCCAGCGAATCTCAGGGCAGCTATGGCTGCCGTTCCCACTCCATCCCTTATGCTTGCACTGATCTAGGGCAGTATGACTGGTGAGATCTTAGCCTATGGGGAAAGAGTGAGAGCCTCCTTTCCTTGAGTTTCTTACAAGTGAGCTACAGAAAGCCTTGGAAAGGTATGCTGCAGGGGACAATCCTACACTGAGGGTGATGTGGGTATGAAGATGGATTAGATGAGACCTATTAGGGTTTTTCCGTCTCTTAATAGCATCATGGCAGAGCCATTCTTCTGGTGAGGGCCTGCAGCCAGTGCTAGGGCTGGTTGCCTTCAGTGCTGCACCAGCCTTGCTTCTCTGGCAGTTTTAAGAAGGGCACCTCTCGCAAGCACCCTGCTCTGAAAGGAGAAAACACCCCAGTCTGAAGCAAACACTCTTCCAGGAGTGAGGGCGAGGCAGCCCCTTGTACCCGCTACCCCAGCATGTCAACAAGAGCTGCCTTAGGAAGCCGTGCCATGGCCACACGCCGTTCCCTGGCCCCGTTCAGATGGGGAAATGGGAGCGTCTGTTTCTTGGGAACAAGAAATAAACTGAGAATTCAAGCTTTTCTTGGCTCTCTAACCCATCAGACACCTTTAAAGGAGCTAACAGAAGTGTGGAGAAAGGAGAGCCTGGTGGATAGAATTTATTTAACTTTCAAAAGGCTTTTGATAAAGTCCCTCACAAGAGGCTGTTAAGGAAACATAGTCACCTCAAGGGTGAGAGGTAAAGTTCTCTTGTAGATTAAAACTTTTTGAGATAGGAAACAGTTAGGAATAAATGGCCAATTCTCAGCAGGGAAAGAGGTTAATAGTGGGTTGGCCCAAGGATCAGTACAAGGCCCCATGTTCTATAAATGCCTTAATGAGTTGGAAAAGGAGGGGGAATAGCAGGAGGACAAAATTTGCTGAAGATGCAACATTATCTAGGTTAGTCAAGAGGAGGGAAGGAACCAGCAAAGTTAGGTCATTGGGAGAACAAGGGCAGGTGCAATTCATTGGAGAGGAGTGCTAGGTGCTGGCTGTTGGAAGGTCAGCTTGGAATTAATCAGACGCACTGACAGTGCTAACCTATGAGGATGCTACAGCAAGGGGTGTGTTAGAGAGAGGGAGGAGTAAGCTCAAGGCACCACTGGGGACCAGTCCCTGAAGTTAAATTAACTAGTTACAATCAGCAGCTAAGGCCATGATTCCCAGCTGGATTTTGCTAGAGCCCCTGGGCTGCATGAGCAGATGAGTTTCCCCCACACGGTGACCTGACAGTTGCCTTCTCTTCTTTTTTTCCCATTTTCTGTTATTTTCCTCCTGGTCTTTATATATTTTTCCTCCACTCACCGCAAGGCTACAAGCTGCTGGGGTGGGGGTGTCTGGTGCCACCCCCAGTGCTCAGCTGAGTGCAATGGGAGCTTGTGGGGGGGTTTCAGTGACTGTCAGCACAGGATAGCAGGGTAGTTAAGCCCACATTGTAAGTCCTGTGCATTTGCTTGTCTCCCCCGTGGTGGGGCTGGTCCCCACCTGCGGCTAATATTGCCTGGCCTCTCTCTGCAGGGCTCTGCTCCACTCCGGCTGTGTGGGGGAGACAGAAAGCAGCGAATGGGAGACTCAGGTGTGGGATTCCATAGTGCTGAGCCCCAGGGAAGTGCTGGCAAATGAATGAGCTGAGCTTTGAGGGCATGTGCATCAGATTCACACCCACAGGTGGCTCGTGACTTGCTGCTGGTCAGTTCTGCCCTCATCCACATGCATCATTTTAGCCTGGAAAGGGAGGAGCTGCCAAGCTGCTACTCTGGGCTCCTGCCAGAAGCATCCAGGGGACTGTGTGGAGGGAGCTGCTGTTCCCCTGCCCCTGAGCCAGGGTGAAGGCCCAGAGCTAGCTTCTCTGCCCTCGGCTCGAGCTGACAGAAGAGGCAGCTTGCCTGGGATCAGCTGCCCTCCCTGCGTAGCTCCACTCTGTCAGCGGAACTGTTCTTCCACGGGAAAGGCAACTTGATTAAAACGTGCCATGTGGCGAGCTGTCATGGCTCTAATTGGGATCTCAGCGCATGGTGTGGAAATGCCCTTCTGCCATGTGCAGAAGGGATTCGGCCCAGGCGGGGAGATGGCCTTTGATTTCCAGCCAGCACCCTCTGAGAAAAACCAGCCAATTAATGTCTAGTGCCCCTTCCTCTCTTTC